CTAGCCGCCTGGCCGATTTTTTTGGCTGATTTGTGTAAATCGGAGGCGCCCGGACACCGCCTAGCGCCTAGGCGGCCGCCTAGGCCGACTTTTAGAAAAGCGAAAGTATTTAAATTTTCAACAACTTTTTCTCATTAATTTTAAATTTTAAGAAAAGAGTTTAACAAGCACTCGTGTAATATACGAACTTTTTATACTAGTTTCCTTTAAAAACGAATCACCTTTATAGACTTTGGTAATAGAACAATCTGGATAAAGATCCGCATGCACGTTGTTTTTCAACAACGAAACGCGGTAAGGTTGAAAATCCGGAGTACATTGCACTTGTAAAAATGCACTCAAGTAAGTTCTTGATTTTAAGCAAAGAAATGCCATTTAATTAAGCTTTAATGTGTATATTTGTTTTTGGTAAGTACGATAAATTTAAACTATTGTGTGACTTATTTATTTAACTTATACTTATACGCTTCTTGTAATTAAATAAGTTTGGTATGATATAGCGAGTTTCTAAAATAAACTGGAGTTTATAAAACTTTGCTGTGTAGCCTTAATTTTTTATAAAAAAGATTTTATTTCAATTAATTTATAAGCTAATTCTACAAAAAAAAAATGTTATATCAGTTAGCTCGCTTATAATTAGCCATCAGCCATAATTTACCAACAATTTTTAAGTTCAAAATTCACTTATGAGCTATCAGCAAACTTATAAGTTATCTAACTAGTTTTTGAACTTAATTTATTTGGGTTTTGCTATGAAACCAACAGTTGGCTCCATAGTGAAGCCAACAGTTGGCTCCAGAGTGGAGCCAACCTTCTATAAACAACAAGTAAACCTACCACATTCTCTGATTACTTAAATAATATTAATATAATTTTATTGATATGGTAGGTTTATTTATTGTATATAAAAGGCTGACTCCACTATTAAGCCAACTGTTGGCTTCATAGTAAAACCGTAATTTATTATAATTGAATTTCGAGCTTATACTTGATAACTGGAAAAAAATTAACTGATAAAATTTTCAAAACAACTTCTTAAGAGCTCCGTAAACTAATCTATTATAAGTGAATTTCAAGCTTAATTGATAACTGAAAAAATTAATTGATAAAATTTTCAAAACGATTCCTTAAAAGCTCCATAAACAAATTTATCAGATAAACATCAACCAAGTTTTTTTTTTTTTTTTGGTACAGGGACCTTCCGGTTTCTGGATCCGCAAGGGAACCGACTAATCCGAAATCGAGCCGGGTAGGACCACAAGGACGACAAAACTCTCCTTCAAGAGTTTTACCACTACTGCATTCCCAGGGCTCGAACCAAGTTTATTTGAATATGAAAAAACTGATAATACCTTATAAAGCTCCATAAACAAATTTATCAAATAACCATCAACCAAGTTTATTTAAATATAAAAAATTGATAATACCTTCTAAAGTAATTAACTTTATCTTACTTACCAAATTCACACTTTTACCTACCCAATTACTTCCCTATAAATATACCCACTAAAACACAAAAATTACAATGTACAACAACTCAGAGTTTAGAGAAAAAATGAAGCTACCAACATCAGCCACCGTGTTACTCGCCGTCCTCCTCCTCCTCCTCGTGGCCACCACAACGGCGGATGTGCCGCCGCCAACTGCCGGAGTCCCAAAGATTTGCCAGACGAGGTGTAGCGGCCGGTGCTCGAAGGCCGGCCGCCACGACCGTTGCCTGAGCGTGTGTTACTCATGTTGTAAACAGTGTAAAGATCATTGCGTGCCGTCGGGGACTTCTGGCCACAAGGAAGAGTGCCCTTGCTATAACAACTTGAAAACCAAAAAGGGTATACCCAAGTGCCCTTGAAAGCTAATTAATATTTGTAGTGATATATGGAATTAATATTATAAAGTGTGGGGAAAACAAATAGACTTGCATGGGGAATGATTTGTATTTGTATTTATAGTGTTTTGAGATATACACACATATATATATCTATGTATGTAGTATTGAATTCAATGCAACTTATATTGGAATGATATTTTTGTTTGTGTTTATTTTCTCTAATTTTCCAAAGTTGGTTATTCCTAGGCCTGTAAAAGACTCATTAAATAAGTGAGTCAGAAATCGAGCTCTAGCTCAGATCGTTAATCACTATCAACGAGACGAGTTCCAACCTTAACTATAGAAAATTTCTTTTCGAGTCTTAACAACCTTATTGAGCCGAGCCGAGCTCACCTTACCAATAACAAGTTTTAAATGAGCTCGAGCTCGACTCGTTCAGGGCTAGGGCTCGAGCTCAAGCCGAACTTGAATGAGTCGAGCCGAACCATACTCGTTTAATTCAATTTTTAACATCATTAGTTATACCTATAGAAAGGTTAATTTTTCTATTTCGAAACCTAGATAGCTTGTTAATAAGCCAACAAGCGATGGATATAAATCGACCTCGACCTTGCGAATGAACAAATCCAATATCTCATGCTCGACTTTTGTATAATTTGATGAAGAAGAAGATATAAATCGATATTATACGCGTAGTACCTAAATTACTGAAGCTAAAAAATAGATCAGGAAAAATAATTAGGGAAAACACGAGTAATTAGTACACTTTTTTATTTTATTTTATTTCTTTGCAAAATATATGATCATTGGAAAACAAAAAATATTTATAAACAAAGTCATCAACCGAAAAATTAATGCAATTTAGAACACAATAACAAAAATGAATCTCAAAAGAACTATTTATGAACGCGGTAATATATATGTTAAATAGAATCTGAACAGGAAAAATAGGACATATAAGTGCATTAGTACGCTTGCACCGAGATTTATTGACAAACGTGGATCTATCATTTGTTCTATTTTTTTTTTTGGTACAAGAATCTTCCAGTTTCTGGATCCACAGGGGAACCGACTAATCCGAAATCGAGCCGGGTAGGACCACAAGGGCGGCAAAGCTCTCCTATCATTTGTTCTATCATTTGTTCTATTTTTACAATGAGCAATTTGTATATGTTATTTCTGAGACGAATTTCCTATGTATTAATGAAAAATCAAGGGACGTTTCTTTAAAAATTCCTAATATTTTTTTAAACTTTCATGTCAGTCCCTAAGCATTATTTCTTTCCACTACACTCCCTACTCCTCTGTTCAACTTTCATTTAAATCCCTTCTATTAAAAAAACTCAAAAATAAACTCTAGTGTGACATCAGTCCACTATCATACTCATTTACATATTATTTAATTATTTTTCTTCTACCTGACCTTACATAAATAATAACATTTTATTTTTGGCTTCTTCCCCACACAAAACTCACCATCTCCCGCTTTTTATTTTAGTGTGTCGAGTTAATGACCAATTTGCGATTAAACTCAATTAAAAACATTTTAAATTTCTCATAAACTAATGTAAGAGTGATTATGGGTCATATAAACATCATTTGAGATCAAACTACGGTGTTTTAATGTGTTAATTACAAGTGGTACTAAAAACCCAATATCAAGTATTACAACAATATAAAACTGGTACTATCTGACTCTAATGTTGACCAAAATTGAAATAATCTATTTTCCTTCACAAAAAGTAGGTACTAATCGATTAAAAACAGGTACCACGTATAAGAAAATATGGTACTATTTTAGCTAAAACATGTACTGTTTTAGGAATCGTGATTTTTTTAATCTTTCATGTTTATCCTTTCACGTGGAACGCGTGATTTGGATGAAAAATAGTGGAAGTTAAAACATATAGGTAGAATTAGAGTACTCATTTATGATGATTCTATGAGATGAAGTGTATTAATAGTGTTTTTTCATTAGTGTGTCGAATTCATGACCAATTTGTGATTAAACTTAATTAAAAATATTTTAAATCTCATATAAACTAATGTGAGAGTGATCAATGCGGTGTTTTCATATGTTCAAATACCATAAAATTGGTACTAATGTGAAGAAAATAGGTACTAGTACGAATAGAAACTGGTATTAGTTTAAAACACAACTTCCTTAAATGAGTACTAACTACCAGAAATTCTATGGTGCCACATGTACTAACTACTGAAAAATGAGTACTTTTACAGCAAAAATCTGATACTAATATTAAGAAAACAAGTATCATTAGGAATCAAATTAAAAAAATCCAAAACATAAATCAATTGAACTACTGGGATTGAAAATTAAATAATAATAATAATAATAATAATAATAATAATAATAATAATAATAATAATAATAATGGGATTAAAAATGCAGGGGACCTGCACTGGAAGCAAGTCTCTGTCAACATAAATTCAAACTGGCAGGTCAAAATAGTTAGAGCATGTGGTTAACACATTTTGCTTCTTCTCTATGTAATTTTGTGATTGTCTCCTTCTATGTAAGTCCTAAATAAAAGGGAAAAAAA